TGCTAAGGAAAGTAATTTGTTGATATGTGTGTATAGACAATACATATATAAACGGGGGATGGACTTTGTTTTGCCTGGAAAGTTAAAAACCTGAACCGTACAATGATAGACCTCGTTTCGCCCTATAAGCAGAGGTGGGGTAGGGTGGGGTGGACCTCGCTTTGCGTGGAAAGTATAATGCTGTCCAGAAAATCATTCATGCGGCGCGAGGTCCACCTCACCCCACCCCACCTCGGCTTATAAGGCGAACCAAAGTCTATCATTGTATGGTTCAATTTTCAACTTTCCACGCTAACTGAGATTCATCCCCACCCACCCCTGCTTGTGCGAAAGGGGCAGCAGCTCTTATATGTGTACTGTTCATACATATCAGCAAACTACTTCTCTTAGTATTGACACAAATTCGTATATTTAAAAAATTTTTTTTGTTTATAACTGTTACGATAGTTAGTCCGTAAACTCATTTTCTTGGAAACCTCATAAAATTTGAATAGTATATTAATGTAAACACAATTTACCTGTGCAATTAGAAAAAAATTTACCGTACCAAATTTGAGATAATTAAAATTAAAGTTAGTACATTTTACATGTATTACAGATACGAAAACGCCTTCCGATACCACGTTTCTAATTGTAGCGATCAAACTACTCTTGTAACTTTTATGAAAAACAAGAAGACAATAGAAAAGATTTGTAAAAATATACTTAAAAAATACAAGACCTTTGACCGTCTAGTTTCAAAGTAATTGATATATATTTAAAGTACACAATTTATGATACTAGCGGTGGACGCATATGACAGCTAACCTTTGAAGTTAGCTTTGAAGTAAACCTAATCTAAAAGCACAATTTAGTGTCTATATACATGTACATATGAGATTCTTACACACACATGCGTAACGCGGACAATCCCAGCCAAATAGTATATGTCATTTGTCTATTATTAACTTTTTGACAGTATTGTCACGGACTAACTACCTTAAATAAGCAATAAACGCCGATTAAGTTATAAGGAAAAGTTACTCAAAGTCATGTCCTTGATAACACCCAGATAGCAACGTGTCTGCATTATTGCTGGCATGTTGCCGACAACATAGTATGTGTTGCTATCAGAATTGTGGCAACTGAGTCCGCATTTGTCGACAAGTTGATGTCTTCACAATATAACAATTTTGTATAGCAACTTGCCAGCAACTTTTTGGCAACTTATGCTGCAGTATAAAATCATCTCATTTAAAATTCGAGCTGTTACTGTCATGTTGCTGTAATAATTCATAGGATCACACAATGCTGTCATATTGTTAGCAACGCGAAATAAATTTGATGCTGCTCTCTTGCCGACAAATTGCTGGCAATACATATATCCAATTGCCTGCGTGTTGCTTCAAATATTAAATTACTCGAAATCAATTGAAGTAAATGTACAGCAAGTTGCCAGCATTATAAGCAATCACAGGTTTGCGCGATTTTGCTCAGACACACTTTGCTATTTGGGGCATATTTCAAAATTATGAGAATTGAGAGTGGCTCCCTAATACTAAATATTTACCGTGAGATCATACATGTGTGATCCACCCACACAACAATTAGGTTGGGTTAGGTTACTTTTTTTTAAGGTGGAGCCTCCCGCAGAGGCAGGCGGAACCCACTGTCTACATACGGTATTATAGAATTACATACTATTATGTCCAATCCCAGGATTAGGATAAGAAAACTGGGAAGCGAAGGAAAGGCTAACCAGAGGGGTAGGGGTAAGGAAGGACGCAACCAGACTTACAATGTCGCTCGCAGGTAAACGCTCTGAAGCGCGTGGCGCGAGCCAAACGCACTTTTAATGGCTCAGAAAGGGTCAACGTCTGTAGAGACGCTAAGACGCCTTCCGTGAGCGGTGCGATCGTCGGTCCTCTTTTGAGTCAGGGAATTTAATCTTTTTAACTCAAGATCGGACCTCGTGCGATTTCGAGAGAGAGGTATAAGGTGTGAGGTCTTAATCTAGCAAATAAATGGTTCTTGCGTTTTGTTTAAATAAGATACATTTATTACATAAGAAAAAAATTAATTATCTTGAAAAATACGCCGTATATACTCGCGTGTACAGTGCATACGCGTGAGCGCTGAGACTTTCCTAAATCCCTAGTCAGTGATTCTAGAGACCATCGAGTTCAGCAATTACGAGCACTGCGTTGCTCGCCCTCTCTCTCAAGTCCGTGATTCGACACGTGTAACACGCATAGTTTTTGCTCAACAATAAATTTGCCAGTTTTCCAATAATTACGTAAATTCACATTTGCTCAATTCCCAACAGGTTATGGGCCCAGCACGCCTCACGCCTGGAAAGTGTAGAAAGCATTTTTGAGTGTTTCGCGAATATCTGAGGGTGTGAGTTTTGTCGCGACTGGAAGGATACCGTCACTGCTGTGAGGTCGTGTGTGCACGTGATCGAGCGTGAGGGACAGCCTGGCGTGCACGTGTACAGCGGTATCGTTCAACCGTCCGATCGTGTGAGTTCGGCCGCGTACGTATAACGGGTGGCACACGCGTATGAAGACAGTGGAGAGCGCAGTTGTTGTCTAAGCTTAGACCAATGATGGGTGAGCCGACGCAAGTTTCGTTTGTACACAAGTTGAACAACAGCAACTACAAGCTATGGAAGTTCCAAGTAGACGCTGCTCTGCGTGGAAAGGGGCTGACAAAATATGTGACGGAGGTCGTGCCGGCCGGTGCGACAGCGGCACAGCAAGACGCTTTTGACATCAACGATGGCAAAGCAATGCCTTTACTAATCTCGCCCCTCGAAAGTAATAAAGCGCAAAACGTATTCTGACGTGTTCAACGGCGAAGCAAATCTACGATAAACTCGGCGCAATCTATGCTAAGAGAAGTGAAGTGAGTGTTATGACCCTCCACGAGGAATATTTTGCGTTAAAAATGACCGAGGGCGAGTCAGTTACGACCTACGTATCCAAAGTCATGAAGCTCGCTTCGGAGATTGAAGATCAGGGAGAGAAACTATCAGACAACATAAAAATGTCAAGAATCATCAGTAGCCTGCTGCCGCGTTTCCAAAACTTCAAGACGGTGTGATACAACATCAAGGAAAGGCGCGATCTGGACAACCTGCTGTCACGTCTACGACAAGAAGAAGATCAGTTAAATAAAACCAGTGGCGCAGATGACGCGGCGTTTGCCGCACAGAGATCTGGTCAAAAGCCAAGGTCGTTTTCTAAGGACAACCGAGTTTCAATCGCCGAGCAAAAAAGATCTACAGAGTGCCATAACTGTGGCGAAATAGGACACTGGCATCGTGAATGTCCACAAAAACGAAAGAAGGTAAACACGGACAAAAAACAGCCGGTTGCTTTCGTAGTGATGCCGAGTGAAATTCGGGATGTCGCGCTGAAGGACGTGTGGATTGTTGATTCTGGTGCGTCGCAACACATGACAAGCCGAAAAGAATGGTTTAGCGAACTGAATGAAAACTCTTCAGGGAAGTACGTTAGAGTTGCAAGTAATGAGAAGCTCCCAATTCGTGGATATGGTACGATAATGGCGTCGATGTGGAATAGTGCAAGTTGGGAAGCGTGTGTATTAGAAAATGTGCAGTATGTGCCTGGTCTCGGGCCAAATTTCTTCTCCACTGGAACAGCAACGTCACGAGGTTTCGTGATGGTTGAAAGCGAGCGCGGTTGTAAGTTGCGATATCCGGAAAAATCGCAGTGATCGGTGTCAAGGACAGTCTGAACCAGTATCGACTGGGGTTTTGTTTAAAAAAAGAAATAGTGGCGAACAATGCGACAGTAGCGTCACTTCGCAGATGGCACCAAAGACTCGGGCACTTAAACGTGAGCGTAGTTAAAGACATGGTAAAGAAAAAGTTGTGGACGGTGTCTTTCTCAGACGAAGAAAAGTTCTTTTGTGGAGATTGCGCTGTAGGAAAGATGCATCGAGTTTCTCATCCGTCAGTGAAAGAGCGCGAATGTCAGTCGGGCGAAAGACTTCACGCAGATGTCTGTGGTCCCATAAATGTGATGTCAATGGGAGGATACAGATACCTCTTAGTATTTAAAGATGAAGACACAGGTTTTCGCTATGTGCACTTCCTCGCGCATAAATCTGACGTTAGTAGCAGGATCGATGATCAGCTGAAGGCAGTGAAAGTCGTGACTGGACACCGGGTAAAATCCCTCCAAACGGATAACGGGCTGGAGTTCGTCAACGGGAAAGTCGCCGAGCTATTACGGAAAAGAGGTGTGTTGCATGAGAGAACGTCCCCGTATACACCAGAGCAGAATGGCCGTGTGGAGCGAGAGAATCGGACGATTCAAGAGTCAGCGAGGACGATGCTGCTAGCGAGTGGCCTTCAAACAAGTCTGTGGTCTGAAGCAATCCAAACTGCCGTATATATCTTGAATAGAAGCCTAAATTCTTGCAACATGAACAAGACACCTTTTGAGCAATGGTTTGGTACGAAACCAGACCTGAGCCACTTGAAGATTTTTGGCACAGAAGCGTACGTACACGAACCAAAGGAGCTCGGAAGAAAGAAGTGGGACGCAAGACCCAGAAAGGCATACCTCGTAGGCTACGAGTCAACGTCAAAAAACTATAGACTGTACGATTCGATAAAAAAAAGACTGATCGTCAGCTGTAATGTCAAGTTTGATGAGGATCATACAGCCGAAAGGTTATTGGACGAGGAGCAGACACTAACTGTTGATCTCGACGATGAAGAGGATAACGAGAGGGTGGAACGGCAGAATGAGAAAGCAGTTGGAGTGGATGATGCGACGAATGGAGACAAAGCCGATGGAGCCGTAGGAACAGCTGATGAACTTGCTGACGCCGTCAAAGACCGAACCGGGGAAGAACGCTATAATCTGCGATCCTACATCTATTAGCCAGATTGGTACGAGGCGCAAGGGCATTGCGCAATAATTGAGGAAGTAAATAGCTATGAAGAGGCTATGAACTCAAAAGATGCGGCCAAGTAGAAGCAGGCGATGAGTGAGGAGTTCGAAGCTCTTGAAAGGAACGAAACCTGGGAGCTCGTGTCACGACCACCTGGGCGAAACATTATTACGTGCAAATGGGCATACAAGGTAAAAAATGTGGCCGGTTCAACCGAACCAAAGCGAAAGCACGTTTAGTCGCCAGAGGTTTCAGTCAGCGCGAAGGAGTAGACTACGGCGAGGTATTTTCCTCTGTAGTCAGGTATGACTCAGTGAGAATCATGATGTGTATCGCAACAGAAGAGGATCTGGAAATTGTCCAGTTTGACGTCAAGGCAGCGTTCTCAACTGAACGAAGAGGTTTTTATGGAGGTTCCAAAAGGACTCAACGTTAACAGCACAAAGCTAGTATGCCGCCTGAAGAAAGCTCTGTATGGCTTGAAGCAAGCTTCGAGAACGTGGAACTAGACGTTCACTGACTGTCTCAAGAAGTTCAATCTAGTGCCGAGTCAAGCAGACCCATGCGTGTTTTATGGAACAGTTGATGGACATGAACTGTACGTGTTGCTCTACGTGGATGACGGCTTAGTGCTGTCAAGAAGCACCGAATTGATTCATCAGTTGCTGAGCCACATGAAGAGAAACTTCGAGTTGACAATCGGAAATTGTCAATACTACGTGGGTATGGAGATAAGAAGCGATCGTGCCAAGAAGGGGATGTGCATCGGACAGCAAGCATACATCAAGAAACTGATATCAAAGTACCACCTGGTAGACGCAGTTACAGCAAGTACTTTAGCTGATGCATACGTGAAGCTCACGAAGGGACAAGATGAGAGTAAGGTGAATTTCCCATACCGTGAGGCCGTGGGATCACTCCTGTATGCAGCATTAGTGTCCAGACCTGATATTGCTTTTTCAGTGGGAGTTGCCAGCCGTTTCCTTGAGAATCCAGGGACCGAGCAGGTGACAGCAGTTAAACGGATCTTGAGATACCTGAAAGCGACATCAGACTTTTGGAATCGTATACGAGACATTGGCACCGCTGACCAGGTACACAGACGCAGACTTTGCTGGTGCAGAAGCCCATCAGTCGACAACTGGTTTTGTCTTTACCCTGGGAGGTGGACCAGTAACTTGGCGCAATCAGAGAAAGAAGAAGGTAGTCACGCTGTCGATTTGTCAACTGCTCAAGGATGTCAACAAAGAGTTGGTGGGTCCGACCCCCTTACGCATCGATAACCAAAGCACCTTGAGACTGATAAGAAATTCTGAAGTGCACGCCAGAACAAAGCATTTCGACGTGCAGTTACACTTTGTTCGAGAGACAAATAAATCAGGGACTATTGCAGTAGAATACGTGCCTAGCGACAAGCAGCTGGCAGACGTCTTCACCAAGCCGCTGACGAGAGACAATTTTGTCAAGAACATCAAAGGCCTGAACATAGTGAATATATACGACGAGTGGGAGTGTTGAAAAATTACGAGCACTGCGTTGCTCGTTCTCTCTCTCTCAAGTCCGTGATCCGACACGTGTAACACGCATAATTTTTCGCTCAACAATAAATTTGCCAGTTTTCCAATAATTACGTGAATTCACATTTGCCCAATTCCCAACAAATTAAAACAGCTATTGTAATTAAAATAGATGATATATAAAAAAAAAAAACAAAAAACGGAGCATTCCAAACAGAAAGTCATTATAGATATAAATGCGCGCATGAAATGGTGTGTGTGAGGTGTATGCGTGTAGAGAAGCCGCGGGTGTGACATAAATCCGGAGGTGGTCGGGCAAGATTTCTAAGGAAAAACCTATTTGGAAATGGACATCCTGTCCGCTATTATTACAATCGAGATTGGCATTGAATTAGATAATTGTTTAACTAAGTGTGGTGTATATGTGTATGTATCATATTAAATTAAAACATATAAAATTTAAAATAAATAACATTTATACTAACGGATGAGTTATAAGCTAATCTAACGTAATTACCTCGGGATCGATTATCTCCTCTAAGGTAACGGTGGAACGGTGGAATATACTGTAGAAAAGGCTGACAGGAATTAGGTAGGGATATTCGTGGTTAAGAATAAAGACGGAATAGAGTGGTGAAAATTCTCCCTAAGGATGAGCGAGCGGAGTTCGTCTATGACGAATTCCCCAGGACCAGTGGTAGGAGTCCCTTTAGGAATTTGATCCGTATAGCGGGGAAAATAAGCGGGTATATTCAAAAGAAAGTGTGGGTGTTGAGGACTTTTCTCGAGAATCTGCGCGCTCGAGGTAGTGGACAACGTTGGAGATGGGTCTCTGAAAAGTTCCTCGAAAGGAACAGGGGTATACGATCTCTCGTATATGGGACTTAGGTGGGAGGAAGGTGCAGAGGAGGGGGAGTCGGGTAATTCTCCGGGGCAAATCGAAGAATAGAAAAATTCAAACAAGGGCGAGGAATCGGGGGTGTCGAGAACCACGCGATAGGAAAGGGGGCGAGAAGGCGAGTTAGGGTGATTGAGGAGGCGGCGACGGCGGCTCCTCCGGCTGAGCGGGTGGAGCCGCCGTCGCGCGGCATTCTCCCGTTTTTGACGAAGGAACTCTGACACTAGTTTTTTTTAAATTTCTTCGCGCTTGCTGATTCCGACGATTCCTTTTTCGTTTGAGGATCGTGCGGAGATTCCGCCTTCAAAGGGATGGAACTTCCGGGTCCACTAAAATAATTTTACTTATGCAGTGGTCGATCTTCTTCAGACCCGCTCGGAAGTATACAAAATAAAATAAAAAAAGGAAATTGTTACGAGCTTAAGGTGACAGCGAACCGGCCGAGTCTGCGACAGCGACAAAAACGCCGGGAGTCAAAGGCCGACAAGTCAGCCAGACCCGCAACAACGCCAACGACCGCCGCGAATCCGATGCCTACGCCGATCGACCCAAACCCGCGATGCTAATAAAATCGTTATACTTAATAAACTCCCGAGGATCCGATAGTTGATAGACCACTTTTAAAATAAAAGGATAGAAAGGGGAACAATAACCCGAAAAGGAGAAAAGAATTACGGGACTTACTACTTGATGACTTGTTGCGTTCAATCTAGCTGGATTCTTTTGGGTCCTGTGAATAGGCTCTCGTCGATACTCAATGAGTTTAGGTTCGCGCACAGATTTTAACTTAAAACTCAAGATCGAATTTGAATGTGATACTGTTCTAAGAGATGAACCGAGGTGAAGAGGTGAACTGTCTGAAGGAAAGCTGAAATAAAAGAGGGACCCCCGTGATGTCGCGATTTATATAGGAAAGTTCAAAGGATGGAAGGGGTGGATTTCGTGTGGGATGTGTCTGGTTTTCGTTTCGAGGATTTTTTATTGGCGAAATGTTTCTCACCCAAGAGGTGGATTTTTTAGTTTTTGCCTATTCTGGGGAGCTAGATACGGTTATCGATTTTTACGGCTGTTTATTGGTGAGTCGTCTCGTAAGGCCCCCACTGTCTTATTAGGGGTGCAACTCATCGACTCTTCCAGTGACTCATTTTGTTTTTCGATTATTGCCGATTTCTGTTTTATTAGGCTCTGGGTCTCTTATTTATCTCGCGACCCTGTTTTTGTGTTAACAGACGATGCATACCTCTCAATCTTAATAGTAGGTTCAATGAAAACAGAAACTTCCGCCACGTGTATTTACGGGCACGTCTTAGACCTTGTTTCTGTTTGTCGGAAACATCGTACGAGCAATTTTAGAAAGCTCGCTCGATGCAATAAAGATCTTCATCAAACTCCGTCTAGGATTAAGGCCCCTTTGACGCGTCGTGTCGCCGGGTTTATAGTTATGGACCAGGCAAAGTTGATAAAAATCCGATCACGTATGTCCCGTCTATCAGTAATTCATCTGGAAGGTCGCTTTTAGTCGCCTAAGCAAATAGGTAGTTTGGTTTAAAAAAAAAAGGAATGTGAAGAGATCGAAGCTCACTCGCCGATCGATAACTGTCCGTGCTCAGTTTACTTATCCTAATCTTAAGGGCTATCTTAGGCGCATAGGAATTTCCGCGAAAAAGGGAAATCGGGGAGTTCGCAGGACGTAACAATATACTATTATTCATTATATTGTCTTTGTTAATAACTTTGTAATAAGTAACGATCCTCAACTTTTATCAACAGTTTTGGATTTAGAGAGCAAGAATACATAAAATTTTCCTCCTCCCAATTGATTTCTCGTATAGGCCCAAATTGTGGAATTTTACCAATAAATAAATATAAAGCTTTTTATATAACATAGTATGTGTATAAATAACTTGAAAATGATAATTTTTGGGAAAAATATTTTAAATAAAAATTATTTAATTTTGACAAGAAAGTAAAATAAATATTTGAAACTTCTTATTCATTATCCAAAGGATCCCATACGATTTATATAAAAAAAAACCGTTTTTAGTCAATTTTTTGAATTTTGAATATGTTGTAGTACTTGTGTCCCTGATGAAAAGTTTCAAATTTCATCGACTTACTATGATTAGCTTTTGAGTTACAGCCATTTGAAAGTCGCGTTCACAAGACTTTGTCAGTATTTCACGATTATTTTGCGTTCACGTAGATGAGAGTCTCGATACTCGTGAGACCGTTAGCGTGTCGTGCGTGACTCGTTCTCGATTACTTCCGCGTTAGTTGTAAGCGAATGTTCTTGCGTTTCGTCGTGAATGAGATAGTTCACGGTTATGTCGCGTTTAATTGTAAGTAAATTGCGTTAGTTGTAAGGGAATGCTCGTGCGTTTCGTCGTAAGTAAATGTCTCGGTGATTTCGCGTTTAATTGTCAGGGTGGGATTCGTTGCGATTCAAGTCGGGAATCATCGATGTATGGAATAGAACGGGATTGCTGTGTAACTCGGCGGGAATGTGTATTGCGCTCGTGGAGTGACACGTTGCGCATATTCAGATTCGTCTAGTTCGCCGTTGAATCTTTCTATCTCATTCCACATGCTTTCCACGTTGCCTAAATATATTTATATTTTTATTATCAATCTGGTGTGTTAATTGCGCTGCGCTCCCTCTCCCCTTCCAACCACGATTAACCGATAGACTCACGCCTGAGATAATTTTGTTTGAGTATCGTGGTGCGAGAAATCGCACCTAGCGCCCATATTCGGAGAAATTATTTGGTCAAGCTACTGGGTTTCTACGTAGAGTCCTATCGCGCGTTTAAAGAGATTTGGAAGTAAGTAGGAAAAAAAAGAGGTGGCGCGCTCCTTTACGGCCGCGCGGCCGGCGAGACCGTGAGGACATAGTCGTTGTCGTCACAAATTATTTTTAACCTTATAAATATACTTTTACATGATCAGACATGATAATATACAAGCATCCCAGATAACATGCATGTTGCATAAGACGTCGTAAAAATATCTTTAAGATAACTAAGATATCTTAAGATATCTTTACGATATCTTTCCGACGTCTTATGCAACATACAAGTTATCTGGGATATAAGACCATATATGTCTATGTATACTTAAAAAGGTTATATTTAAAAAGGTTTCATGGAATACATAAAATCATATATTTTTATATATGTATAATTATATAATATTGTTTAAGATTATAATTTTCCATTTCTTATATGATCATATATAATTATGTATCTACTAATATAAACAAATAAGAGGTATTTTTTCCGGGTATATAAATATAATCATATATGCGCATATATGGCCATATAATATTGTTTAAGATTATATTTTTCATTTCTTATATGATCATATATGTATATATAATCATATAACTACTAATATAAACTAATATCAACTTATATCAACAAATAAGAGGTTTTTTCCCCGGACACATAACATGCTAGAAAAATTTTGCTGAAAAATTCGTTATCGCTGATTTTCGAAAAATTTTCTGAAATTATTCCACGTTTTAAAACACTTCTCAGCGAAATTTCAGCATAACTTTAACATAATTTCAGCATAATTTTAATAAAATTTAATTAAATTTGTAAACAAAATTGCATGTTTTTTACGAATATTTTCATCGAAATTTATTTAAATTCGAAGAAAATATTCGTAAAAAACATGCAATTTTGTTTCCAAATTCAATTAAATTTTATAGAAATTATACAAGAATTTCATATGTTATTACCCATACAGTACAAAATATTCTTAAAATATTTTTAAAATATTTTTTAGAAAGATTAAAATAATTTACAAAAATATTTTTAGAATGTTTGTATGTCCGCCAAATTATGTCAGAAAAATATTTTTAAAAAATTGAAAATAAATATATTCAATAATATTTGTAAAAACTTTTAGAAATATTGCTTTAAAAAATAAAATACGTTTAACCCAACTAGCAATAATTGTTCCAAGTTTCAAAGATTTTTCTAATATTTAAAAAATATACATCTTTACATCTTACTTTGGAAAATATTATTTTGTATATCTATATTCTACATTATCGCAGCAGTGTTGAGTGAGCTTTGCGTTGTATCGCTGGCAAAAAT